GCAAGTTTCCTTTGCTTCTGCTATGGCTTCCTTTACCTTTATTCTCAACTCAATAATTTACATTATTTATCTTTGGAAGTAGTAGGTTATGCTGCTCTGCATAAAATATTATCCATAGAGTCTCATCTTGCTCAGAGAAGAAGCCAAAGTCCTTAGTTTGCGTGTCCCCTACTACTTACTAGCTCATAGCATTCTTCTTTAACACTGTTTCAGTCATCTTGACTTCTTCACTGTTCCTGAAATACTCTAATTCCATTGTCTTTACTCCTGCATTTCCCCTTCGGCTCCCTCCCCTAGATATTGCCTGGATATTTTTAGGTCTTTTCCAAACACTAATTGTATTACAGAAATATTCTTTGAGCTCCACACGTACACTAAAGCACTACTCTATCCAATTTTTCCAAGGGTTCTCTAATTTGCTTTATTGCTTTCCTTACGTATCACTATTTACCTCCATGGCATCTAGTACTGTAGTTTTTTCTAACTGATTTGTTTATTTTGTTATCCCACTACTAGAAATTTCAGCTTCATAGAAGCAGGAACTATATTTTATTCATTGTTTATTCTTCACTTAAGAAATTAATGTCCAGGAACACGGTGACCAAAACCAAATCCACAGCTGTCCTGACTCATAGAAACCTTACACTATGTTTGCAAGAATGCATATCTTTACAAGAGGAGATTGCTTAGTTTTTTTCCCCACAAAGCAGCTAGAAGATTTGAACCTCTGACCTTTCAGTTAGCAGTCCAACATAAAACACACTATGAGCCACCCAGTTTCCTTAATCACATTGTAGGCACTCAAAAAATAATTGTTGAATAACTAGAGACATGCATTTTGGTAGATGGGAAATGAAAAGTGGGCAATGAATTTTTAATCCAATTATATGATAGAATAGTAAGATTGTGATGATTTGCTGAGTATTGGTCAGAAAAAGGAGACAGGAAGGCCACCTTGGTATCTTACTTAGACAGCTGAATTTAAAGTGTATTATTACTGAACTAGAGAAGAGGAAGACAAGCAGAAGGAGGAAGAAGGATTTTGCAGATTTTGATAAAATCCATATTAATATTATTTCAAAATGTGCAACAATGGAAAAATTAAAATACAATAAGAATAAACAACAAACAAACAGAAAAAACTGAGTATTAGGACAACTCAAGCAATGTCCTACAGGCAACAAATTATAGAATTATTCATTGGATTCAAGATAACACTTCATTCATTAAAAGCAAAACTATTTATGTGGGAAGGACATGGAGAGGGAGTACGTGGTGTTGAGATGTTGTCTTGAGGGAAGTTAAGTATTTTTCATCCCAAAGGTGAATTTACTGAACGATCCAGTCATCAGAAGCTTACAACCTTGTAGAAAACTACATTCACTGAGCCTCAAAGGAGTCTCATTGTCTGAACACAACCATTTTTCAGTCTAACTCTGGGGTTGCGTGTTTGCCATTTAGAACCTACTATATTTTACAGCACCTCCTGACATTGTTACACAACATTTATTGAAAGCACATTTGATGGTAATGAAGTTTCTATTAACTATGATTAAATCTCATAAAGCACCTGAAGATAATTTAAGATGTGCAGAAGCAGAAAATGAAACATTCGGTTTAGTACATTAGGAAACGTAATTGATTAAATTATCTCATTTACAATAAGTGCTTTCATGAGCTATGCAGTGCACATATTTTCCCCAGTTTGTCATTATGATTTGCCAACAGATATCTTAAGGCTTCACTTTTTCTTACACCTCCCTGCAACTCAAGCTTCCTCCTCTGCCAGCCTGCTCACGGAGGCCTACGTGTGAGGCGCTGAGTGATGGCTTCTCTCTACTAGGCCCAGCCGAGGATCATGTGCACAGCTATATATAGGAACAGGTTGTTTCTCAATTATCTTCATAATTGACTTTGATTTTGCATCAGTGATGATTCATGTAGTCTTAAGCTCAACACCCTTCTTCCCTGAACACCCGCAGTCTGAATTTGTATAATGTACTCCTAACCATGCAGCTTACAGAACCCCGATTGGATTCCTTTGGGAGCCTTTTGCAATCACATTGATTCTGTTAAGGTTTTATTTTTAGGAAATCACAAATTAAAACAGTTTAAGCGATTCCGTTGCAGTATCCAGCAATTAAGCATGGTGCTCAGGAGCGAGAACCCTAAGCAGAACTTCTCTCACGGTCCCTGAGGACTAGAAACAGCTTCTGTGGGGTTTATAGCTGAAAGTACAGATGTAACCAAATTAGAATGGCACAGATGCACAAACTAAGCGTGAAATTAATTTTAAAAATACACACATATGCATTTCTAAATAACTCTCACATTGGCCAACACACCGATACCCACAGTCTGGCTTGTTCTGTTCACAAGAGCCAGCAGATGGCATGTACTCCATGACCAAGAGGAGGTTAAGGGAACACCCCCTGGACCTGTGGTTTCAGGGGTGTGACAAAGGCACGAACTTCACTTCAGTGACCCATTGTTTTCTCTCTCCCTTAATATGTGAGTGTGCACACACAACACATACACATACTCACACAATACACAAAAACACACTCCCACCCTCTCATCATCTTTGGAGTCAAACAATAAAAGTGGATCGTGTTAGAAGACTACTACCTACGTCCTAATGACCCTTTCATGTGCGGCCAACAACATGGAAAAAGTGTGAGTCTATTTTACTGAATGAGACAACAGCTGACATGAAGCAGCATCATGAAGTCTGGACACAATGGCTTTAAAGAACCTTTCTATTCTGTCTCATGGCCCTTTGTTGTCTATTATTGTTGAGTTTTAATTTTTGCAAGTGTTAGCTAAAAAAGTGGTTAACTCTCCTGAGTTATCTGAAGTTTATTCTCCTATGATGACCTAGTGGATAAGGAGTCGCACTGCCGACGCAAAGGCAGGTAGTTTAAAATTACCAGATGCACCAATGGGGAAAAATGGGCAATCCCCCCTGTGTAATTTTTAAAGACATTTTTGTAAATTAAAATACCTTTTTTTAAAAAAAGTCAAGTACACTGGCTTTTAGAAAACCTTTCATTTACATTGTATTTTATACCATCTTTTATACACGTTTTATTTTGTATTATTACTGTTGAAGTATGCCTGTTATTATCCTGTCTTTTCAAGTCTCCAGTGAATCTTTCCTAATACTTCACCCCCACATCTGCCCACTAAACTCTGCTATCCTAGTGATTTTCTGCCTTCTTCATTTCTGCCCTTTGCTCCTCCCCTTTTAGATATTTACATACATCTTACTAGTTATCCTTTTATTTTTACAGTAATATCGGAGAGTCTAGAGAACATTATGCTTAGTGGACTCAGTCTCATAAGAACAAATTCTGCAATAAGACTATTATTTCTTGTGGAACAACAGTCTCTGAAGACCGCTGGAGTCAGTTCCCATTCAAAGACACACAATAGGGTTTGTTCAAAAGAAACATAGTCTACCGCATGTTGCTCTGGTAATCAAAAGATCTTGCATCTCTAGAAGTTGGAATCTACTAGCAAAAGCTCGGAGAAGACAGACAATCTCCTCCTGCTAAGATATTTATCTTTAAAAAGCCAATAGAAAGATCAGAACCCACTCAATGACAGAGCTCAATGACAGTGAGTTTGAGTTGCTGAAAAATGACAGCATCAAAATTATTCTTTGTATACAAGAAAGGAAGACACTTGAATAGGTGGACACTTCCACAAGGTAGACAAACAGAACCAGGTAAGCCCTTGGCTTACTTATTTGGTTCTGAGATCTGGATTGCTGATGTCTGCCCGTTTCCAGCTTCCTTTGGCACACTTTCCCTATTTCTGAGTACGTGGAAATTCCCTGGACCTTATGGAAATGCAGAGCCCCAAAACTTCACCTTAGCTGGGATCCTAGTTCTAAGGTGGAGTATATTTGATAATATGGTACCCCGCCCCAAGATTCTGATACATGTAGTCTATGAACACACATTTAAGAAATATTTTTCTCAGACATGGTTCTCACCCTGGGTTGCACATTGGAATCACCCCAAGAGCTTGACAAACTAGAGATCCCTGTTCTTTAAACCAGTGAACCATTATTTTCCAAACAATGTGAAACATACCAATCTCATGTGTGTTACCACATGTGCCCCACAGGGTTTTCAGAGGCTCATTTTTTTGAAGTGAACTATTAGACCCTCTTTTAAGTCTCAAGTGGACTCAAACCTCCAACCTTTCAGTTAATAATTGATTGTGTTAAAAGTTTCTACCACTCTAACAAGCTTCCTGTTGTGTAACTCTATTGTCCAGTCCATGATCTGATATAGTTGGTCAGAGATCTAGCCCAGGATCTTAAAAAGAAAAGACTCTGGGTGATTCTAACGTGTAGCCAAGTGTGAGAGCCCCAGGGCTACATACCAAACTTTCAAGCATTCCAGGCAGTATTCTGTCTATGATCTCACTGCACATAGAAAACAGAGATAATGTGAATCTTCCCTAGGAAGCTCTGTATCATGAGCTCAAGCCAGCACAAACACCAAAATCCCAGTTTACAATTGTTTCACGGTGGAACACCAGTTCCCAATCTATCTAGTTTCTATGGATTCATCAGAAGGCAGGAGTCCCAGTTTGCATTCTCTTCCTAGGCAGGGAGTGTTGTCTTGTGGACAGGCTTTTGCCAGAGGCTGCTCTCATGAAAGCATGCACTGACAAATATTTATTAATCTTAATGCTATAAATCTCAGAAATAAGAATCTTAGATGACATTTGCAGAGAAATGGACAAGCAGAAAAAAAAATCAAAAGACCAACCAAGAGAAGAGATTTATTTTTACTCAGAGGGAGGAGAGGGATGAGCATATTTCTTCTGGATTTAAACCCTCTCTTAGGCAACTCCATATTCACTGAGTAGAATGCCCAAGACCTTTCCTATCACCTTCAATTCTATTTGGCTCCTGAAAAAACACAACAGCAAGGCAGCAAATATAAGAATAAATAACATCCACAAGAGCAAAAACAACTTACTTTGGGGTTTTATTTCATGAAGAGGTTTTTTATCTAAAAGAAAGAGAGAAAGAGAGAGAGAAAGTTGCATTTAATAAATTTACATGGAGAAGATATATTTCCTTTATCACTCTATGTCTAGCTCTATAAATGAAACATTTTCTCTGTTTTTACAGATGATACGGTTTATGGCATCCATATTTTTCTTTTTATTGTAATATTTTTATTTTTCTCCTACCAACTATTTTCCCCTAGGATGATTCTTCATTCCTTTTTCTTTCTTTAATATTTCCTCAGGTTTGCTCTGGTTTCCCTCATTAGCATTTACTAGCTTTTGGTTTTTCTTTTATCAGCATAATGAGAGCAGTGAGCATGCAGTCTGCCCCTCTCTTATACACTTCCAGAAGACTGTTCAGGTGAAGGATGCCATTTCACTATATATGAAGAAAGAAAAATGGACCAGTGGATAAATATTTAAAGGGATCCTGCAGTGGTTTGTAGTAACCACTTGCCTGGAATATATAATATATATATATATATATATATATCTCCCATTCTCTGACTGCTTATCCATTACTGGTGGGTTTGGGGGCATCTTGGAGGGTTTGGGGTCATCTTGGAGTTTTATTCTTCAGAAATCATTCCTTTTCTTTTTCACAGCTCCATTATCTGTTAAAATCTATCCCCTCGCTCTTAATGGAGAAGGTGTTATTTCTATAATCATGATTTTCAGCACAGCACAGGTCAGATGATACGAATAGAGAAAAGACATTTGGCCTTCTACTTTAGCAGGGTCACAGAGCAGAGTTTAGAGGAGATTTTTAACTAGTTCTTCCTACCACTTTCCACCCACTTTGCATCCTCTTCTTTCATCATCAAATAGTCCAACTCTGAAACTTATTTTGAGGCTCTGATGGTATCCTTGAGTTGCATACTCCTGTACCCCAAGTCTGCATCTCCACATTATGGGACACAATCAGGTCAACACAACTTCACCACCATGTAGACATCTGGGAAGCGCACACTTCTGACACCTGTCAAGACTTCAGCACTTTGAATGGTGTTTTATCTATTAGTACTTGGAAAGTATAGATGATTGCTGCCAGACTACAAGGACTGAAGAGTCACCAGATATGAAAACATGAGTTGTGTTGGCAACTCAAAGGCAAGCAATCGACCTCACCTGATGCTCACGGGAGAAAAAGGGTCAGTCTCCTCCCATGCCACTTACTGCCTCTGAAAACACACTGGTGGGTCAGTTCTAGCACGACATTAACACCATTTAGATGTTAACTGAAAGAGAGAGGTTTGAAGTTCATCCAGAAGCTTTTCAAGAGACAGATTCACAAATTAGCCCTTGAATACCTCATAGATCTGAAAACTCGCCCATTGGAGACCCTCAGGATCACTCTGTCACACATGGAGTCATCATGAATCCTAATTGACTCAGTGACAACAGGTTTCAAGGGTAGAAGCTACTGCTAATCATCTGACAAATCACATAATGGCAGGGGCACTGTGGAAGGTCACCTGATGTAGTGGACTTCTTCTATTTGCCTGAAGGTAAGTCAAGTGGGGCGAGACTTGGTTGTATTGGATTATTTTTTTTAATGGAATCAAATCTAGCATTATACATATTTGAGAACTTCATAAATATTATCTGGCTGACTGCGCTAGAACCCCTTCCAAGCAGACAGACATTATGTTGAAAGTGCTCTGTGGAATACCCCTTGCCTTAACCAATTCATATATTTATTACAATTTTTAATGGAAAGTCCTTGCAGTATACAAATGCAATGGACGTTAATAATACAGCTCTTACATTATTTTGCAGTTTGATTTGCTGTGGAGGTAGTTTTTAAAATTTTCTATAAATCACACTCTTACAAATTGCTCACCTTTTAAAATTTTCTTTTTAAATACAAGGTTAAAGTGAGCTGGCAAAGGGCATTTTTTTATGTAAGCCTGGATTTAAAATAAAAAAATTCTCAAAATTTAATAACTTGTTCATATTAATATAATCATATTCAGATTTTTGCACACTCAGGTTTCTTGAACAGAGATTTGCATTCTCCTCACTGCATAGATTCGGTATCCCTGAGAACAGGTGGTACATCCTGAAGTCCAGATGCTAATGCACTCAAGAATTAGAATAAAATTACTTTGGTGGTTTTCACCTAACCTCAGTTTTTGCTTATTGCACGGTATCTGAAATAATTTGGCATGGGCACAGGGATGTTGGCAGGCCAGGGCTAAGATGTCTGAAAGTGATGCATTGCTGAGATTACAGAAGGAGACGTGCAGAACATCTGTTTAGAACTCTGGCTGAGCTTAACAGTATATTCTTATTTCTAAACCAGAACAATGAAGACTACACCAGGTAGTAAAATGAAACTCTATTAAGAATAGGTGAGATATATAACTCTCAGGAGTAAAAGAAGTCTAACACAACTAGGAGATTAAATAGATGATAGATAGATATAGATAGATAGATAGATAGATAGATAGATAGATAGATAGATAGATAGAAGATACATACATACATACATACATACATACAGTTATATGACAAGTCTATACCTACATGTATGGAATATCCATGTGTATGGTATGTATAGGGAATTCTGGCAACCTAGTGATAAAGAGATGCATTGCCAGTCTAAGGGTACACAGTTCAAATCTGCCAGCTTCTCGATGGGAGAAAGTTGGACAATGTCTTCTTGTGCAGTATGCTGCATCTGGAAACCTGCTGGTCAGTTAAAAGTTCATTCCAACTTAAAGGTTTATACAACAACAGTAATACACACACATATATTAGTTAGCCAGTGGATTTTCAGAGGCCGTATATTACGTGAGAGGAGATAGCCCATCTTCTGTGGAGCAACTCAGACATACATAAATATATCATACGCATACACACACACACACACACACACACACACACACACACACACTTATATATAGTATACATGTAGAAAATGTATATACATGTATCTATATTATATACATCATATATAAGCTGCTCCACCGGAGAAAGATGTTCTATCTCCTCAAATGCATATGTTCTTGTTGTTGTTTTGTACCGTAGAGTTAGAACTGAAACATAGCTGACCCTCTAGTGGGTTTTCAGAGGCAGTTAATCACAAGGAAGGAGATTGTCCAACCTTCTCTGACAGAGCAAGTGGTGGCCTCAAACTGTGTGCCATCAGGATTGCAGTGCAGCTTCTTGCAACTAGGCCAAGAGAGCTCCCTATAAACCAATACACTGCCTCTGAAAATCCACTGACTAACAAATGTATTTATGTATATTATCAAACAATATCATTAATATCTTGGAAGCAGGAGTGGTATCCACCTCCTAAACAACATGCTTCTTGAAACTCTATGAACTTTTATAAGTGTCAGTAGTTGTGGAGGGGCTTCAGGCCTTTTGCTCATAGGGGCACCATGAATCCTGCTCAAGTTGAAGGCAATCAACAACAAAAACAACATCATTAATATCACATACAAGCAAGATTCTGCTGAAGATTATCCAAAAATGACTGGAACAGCATAACAACAGAGAACTGCCAGAAGTCCAGGCTGGGATTAGAAGAGGCCGTGGTACTAGGGTTAGTATAGCTAATGCCACATAGATCTTGGCTGAAAGCAGAGAATGCCAGAGGAATGTCTATTGGTGTTTCATTGACTATTGAAGTCATTTGACTGTGTGGACCCCAACAAACTGTGGCTGACTCTGAGAAGAATGGGAATCCCAGAACACCTGATTGTGCTTATTCAAAACCTATATTTGGACTAGGAGGTAGTAATCAGAACAGATCATGGGAACACTACGTGGTTCAAAACTGGGAAGGGTGTTTATCAGACATGTGTCCTGTCTCCATAACTTTTTAATCTATATTGAGAACAGATGATATGGGAAGATAGGTTCTCTGAGGAGAAATGTGGCATCAAGATTGGTGGAAGATTCATCAATAATCTGCACTATGCAGGTAACACAACCCTGCTTGCTGAAACTGAGGAGGACCTGACGTTTTTACTGCAGAAGGTCAAGGACTGCAGTCTTGATTATGAATTGAAGCTCAGTATCAGGAAAACAAAAATTCTCACCACTGGGCCAATTGGCAGCATTATAATAGATGGTGAAGAGATTGAGATTGTAAACAGCTTTAGTCTGCTTTGCTCCACAATCAACATTCTTGGCACCAGCAGCCAGAAAATTAAGACTTATTGAATTGGAAAAGTCTGCTATCAGAAACTTCTCCAAAGTACTGAAGAGCAACGATGTCAGTATAGAGACTAAGGTGTGCCTGATACAGGCCACAGTGTTTGCAATCACTTGATAATGCATCAGAAAGCTGGATAATGACTAGGGATGATAGAAGGAGAATTGATGTCTTTGAGCTGTGGTACTAGAGAAGAGTATTGAATATATCATGTACTCTAAGAGAACAAACAGATTTGTCCTGGAAAGAGTGAAATCAGGCTGCTCCTTGGAGGCAAGGATTCTGAAGCTTTGTCTGATATACTTTGGACGTGTTGCAAGAAGGACCAGTCTTTGGATAGGGATGTCATTCTTGGATGGGTGGAGGGACAGCACAAAAGAGGAAGACCCTCGAGATGGATTGAATCAGTGACTTGGGTAATGGGGTTAGGTGTGTCAGAGACAATGAGATTAGCACAGGGTAGAGCAGGGTGTAGGGCTGTTGTACATAGTGGTCACTATGAGTCACAGGTGACTTGACGGCACATAACAACGTATGTGTGTGTTAACTCTGTGAGTGTGTTGTTTTATAGTATGCATCAGAAAGCTGGACAATGACTATGGATGAGAGAAGAAGAATTGGTTACTTTGAGTTGTGGTGCTGGAGAAAATGATTGAATATACCATGGACTGCCAAGAGAACAAAACATGTTCATCCACTTCTTTTTGGAGGTAAGGATTTTGAAGCTCTATCTGACATACTTTGGGCATGTTGTAAAGAGGGATCAGTCCTTGTAGAGGGACATCATGCTTGGGAGGCTGGGAGAACAGCACAGGAGAGGAAGATTAT